TTATTAACCCAAGGTCTGGTGTGAGGATATATCGGTCCACTCCTTCTGGTACCTCCCCCACAAAAGGTCAAAGTTTTGATGTCCGTCAAGATAAATTTAAATTTAATTAGCAAAGACACAAACCAAGGTTATTTTTTCTCCGGTTCGCAAAGGGTAAATAAAGAGAGAGAGGGAGAAAGAGAAAGAGAGAGAGGGAGAGATAGAGATAGGGAGAGGGTGTCGGTGTCGAGGCTGGACACAAATGAAAGGTCTCGAGGAGTACTTTCCGAATCTGTAGACCTTATAGTCAAAAAAAATTTCAGACTTAGGAATTTTTTGCATTTTCTGAAGAATTATCGCTCCATTTTAGGGAAATTGCAGATAAAAGCGTCGACAGAACAGAAACTAAAAATGAAGCGTTGTCGAGGCTGGGCACAAATGAAAGGTCTCGAGGATAACTTTCCGAATCTGTGTACCTTATAGTCAAAAAGAATTTCAGACTTAGGAATTGTTTGCATTTTCTGAAGAATTATGGCTCAATTTTAGGGATATTGCAGATAAAAGCGTCCACAGAACATAAACTAAAAATGAAGCGGAGTCGAATTTCAGACTTAGGAATTGTTTGCATTTTCTGAAGAATTATGGCTCAATTTTAGGGAAATTGCAGATAAAAGCGTCCACAGAACAAAAACTAAAAATGAAGCGGTTCGAGGCTGGGCACAAATGAAAGGTCTCGAGGAGTACTTTTTGAATCTGTTGACCTTATAGTCAAAAAGAATTTCAGACTTAGGAATTTTTTGCATTTTCTGAAGAATTATCGCTCAATTTTAGGGAAATTGCAGATAAAAGGGTCCACAGAACATGCACATTTTTACATTTTCTAAAAATTATCACATATCTCATATAAAGTGAAGGTCCTACACGAAATGGACCATATTTGTACATTCGATCGGAACCTACTCCATAGAGGGTCAAATATTTGAATAATCATAACAAAAGTCAAAATATTGTTAAATAATCGAACATTGGATGAGAGTACACATCTGTCGGCAAAACCGACTGATACTTTTTAACTTGTTAAACCAAAAAGTAATTCAAAACTCCATATTCTTCTATAAGATGGAATTGTTTTTTTTTTGAAATGTGTTCAGTACTTTAATTCAGGGTAAAATATATTTCTGAGTATAAAATATATTCACTTACCGCATTCATTTTTAATACGAGGATATTCCAAGCACACACCCATAAGTTGTCGTGGGGGTGATTTCGAGACCAGTGTTAAAATTTTCCAGGCACTTCATTCATAAAAATAAAATAAAACCAAAAAAAACTGTTAATATTTACATAAAATATGGCATGCCACAGGAACATAATGCATTTGTGGATATGTCCCGCCAAAACTAAAAACAACAACGAAAAGCAGAGAACAAAGTCCTTACATTTAGATTTATGAAGTAGACGAAGGAGGAGAGAGCTGCAGGGGTGGTTGGATGGAAGTAGCAAACAAAGCTCATAAAATACAATTTCTGTTTCCACCCAAAGGCCTGAAATTTAAATGCGTGTGCGTGACTGGTTTTCAAAAATTATGATTTGTCGTTTGTTCAGTCATTCATTCAGTTACATACATATTTATTGGTGTGTGCAAGTGTATGTATGTATGCAGCTACATAGTGTGTCATAAAAGTGTGCACACTTCTGTTGATTGTTTTCGAATAATTTTTTTTATTACAAATTTCGTGGACGAGTTGCAGTTTTTTTTATTTATTTTGAATCATTTAACATATGTCCTTTAGCCTTGATGTTTAGCTTCGAGTTCAGAAAGAAAAACTGTGCAACAACCTTTGGAATTATTAAAAGATGGGACCGTTTACGTTTGAGCCATATTTAACCGCTGATTTTGTGAAATTTGGTATAATTACCTGAGAATATAGGATAACGGTGTTTATCTACTGTAGATAGAGTAGATGAGCTAAAATACTTATATTTTAATATAGATGAACTCATAGACCATCCTTCGTAGAGTAGATGAGAAATTCTTTAAAAACCTGCTACATGGAGCTCCAAAAAGTTTATTATTTAAAAACCTACGCCTTAGGCAGCAGAAAAATCCTACAAAAATTGTTTGAAAATCTACGTCACGGAAGGAGGAAGCGGCCTACAAAAATTCTTAAAAAATTCATGCCTTTGCCAGGGGAAGAGGTCTTTAAAAAATCTTTAAAAATCCATGCCTTGGCCAGAGGAAGAGGCCTTCAAAAATTCTTTAAAAATTCATGCCTTGGCCAGAGAAAGACGCCTTCAAAAATTATTTTAAAAACCCATGCCTTGGCCAGAGAAAGGCGCCTTCAAAAATTCTTTAAAAATCCACAACTTGGGCTGATGAGGAGGCCTCCAAAAATTCTATAAAAATCCACGCCTTTGCTGATGAAGAGGTCTTCAACAATTCTTTAAAAAACCACGCCTTGGCCAGAGGAAGAGGTCCCCAAAAATTTTTTAAAAATCCACGACTTGGCCTGATGAGGGCGCCTCCAAAAGAAGGAGGAGTGATATTCCCCATCTTCAGAGCAGATCTTGTGTTAGTAGAAATAATGGGATTTGTGAAATATTAAGGGAACCACATGCTTATTTCGGATTTGTTATCATTTTGGTTATTCAAAATGTTGACTCTTTGTGGGTGAGGTTCCAGAAGGAGTGGACCATTTTCATACTAGACCGTGGGTTAATAAGAATATTGTGATCTGTGTAATTTAAAGACAATATAATTATTCATAATGTTTACCCTCTGTGGGGAATTACTTGATGGAGTGGACCGATACTATCCATTTTAGCACCAGATCTAGAACTGACGCAAATATTAGGATTTGCAATGTTGGAGCACAATCGGATTATCGCTTTTTCTTCTGTGCAGTAAAAAAATAATTTTTTTTTTAAATTGCGACCTTTTTGAGGGTGTTATCAGAAGGAGTGGATCGATATATTCCATCTAAACGCCAAACCTTGGGTTAATAAAAATATTGGGATGTGTGAAATTTGAAGACAATCGGACTCTAACATCACATTTTATAAAAGTTATAATTATTGTACTTGACGGGGTGGAACAATATTGTCCGTTTTCGCACCTGGCCTAGCACTGGCGCAAATATTAGGATTTGCAAAGTTGGAGCAAAATCTGATTATCGTTTCTGTTTCTGTGCTGAAATATATTTTTTGAAAATTTCGACCATTTGTGGGGGACCGATGTTTCCTATCTCCGAACTCGATATAAGTTGGACAAAAATATTACGATGTACCAAGTTTGGACCAAATATTACGATGTACCAAGTTTGGACCAAACACCAGCCAGACCGACTCCAAATGTCCTGCAACGGATTTGGTCCAAAGAGACCTAGGGTCTAAAACCGTTATTTCGACTATGCACATTTTGATCGTATCAAATGGTATATACCCCTCTAGCCATATGGTTGAGGGTATAAAAATCTACGCATACTGTAGAGTAAACTGATCCCTGCTTTCATCTACTGTGGAGTAGATGAGCTCTGTGGTCATCTACTATGGAGTAGATGAGCTCTGTGGTCATCTACTGTGGAGTAGATGAGCTCTGTGGTCATCTACTGTGGAGTAGATGAGCTCTGTGGTCATCTACTGTGGAGTAGATGAGCTCTGTGGTCATCTACTGTGGAGTAGATGAGCTCTGTGGTCATCTACTGTGGAGTAGATGAGCTCTGTGGTCATTTACTGTGGAGTAGATGAGCTCTGTGGTCATCTACTGTGGAGTAGATGAGCTCTGTGGTCATCTACTCTGGAGTAAATGAGCTCTGCGGTCATCTACTGTGGAGTAGATGAGCTCTGTGGTCATCTACTGTGGAGTAGATGAGCCGATGTCATTTGTATAGATCACTGGTTTAACAACCATAATCTCCAAATAAAATTTTAATCTTTATATTAAAAAATAATGATTTGAACAATACCAACCCGCATTTCTTCAATCCCCAAAATACTTTGATAAAATTCCAATGCAAGTATGACATTAAATGCAGAATAAAAGACCTCCACCATGGATTAAAGAACAACGCTATCATAACGGTCTTCATACATCTTTCTGTTCATTTCTATTGAATTGAGCGAAGAATTATTTTATGTAGTGTTGAAAAGAAGCAGTGACTACCATAATATGGTATTATTCTGCAGTGATAAATCCCCTCATTCTGCTGATAGCGGAAAAGGAGAATAAGGTGGCGGGACACAATTTCCATTTTTGTTCGTGCATTACTTGGTGGATATATATGGCTGGGCTTGTTTGTTTGTTGCTTTTCTTTTCATTTAGACTTTAATGTGGGGTCTGTCGCCCACAACATATTCACCGTCATAGTCTGACAGTGTTTGCTTGATACACAAACAAACAGACAGACAAACAGTCAGACAGACTGTGTGACTACCATTATGGTCTGTCTAGCGGTTAGCCACCCCATGTTTGTTCTGTAAGTCGGAACAAATTAGGCATGAGGCGCGTGCCATTTTTAATAATTTGCCAAAAAAAAAAAATGAAAACAAAAACAAAACAAATTACCCATTGTAATTAAAATTATTATTTTTTTTTCATTGAGGCAGGTGTACGGTTTATAGGGGCATTTATTAGCTCAGAGATTGGGGATTTATTTCTCAATTTTATTTTCATATAGAAAATGTTTTCTTAACATGATAATATTTTTTTTAGTTTGTTTTGGGTAAAAGACTAAATGAATTTTAAAGAAACTACGCGATGACATTTACTGCCAGAATTCATTCATTCCTCATCACGACACATTGAAATTGTATCAATATTCCAAATATAGATTTTGTGAAGCTTTCCACAATCGGGTAATCTGCAGGAAATAATGCTTCCAAAAGCCCCCTTTGGAAAGGTTCGTCCCTAGCCTTCTTTTTTGCGAATATTTTTTTTCTTTTTTTCTAAAAAATATTTCTTTTAATGCTACAACAAAAACTTTTATCTCTTTTCAGGTCTATCCACATGCTGACCTCAAAATCTTTAACCTCTCTACAATAATTTGGCTTCCTTAAACAATTTCGGCTTTCTGAAATAACATCAATGACATTTTAAAAGGTCGGCTTTGAACTGCAACTCTTGAAAAGATTTCGGCAAAGTTTTAGTTCAGACAAACGAGGGAAGGCGAGAAAGCATATCTGGTAAGTTGAGCAATACCTTTTTGGTCCAATTTCCTATTGAAGGAAATAAATAACGATTTTGACCCTGTAAAAGGTAAAAACCCGTTTAAATGCAAAAGAAAAACGGTGAGGATACCCTACACCACTATGCATATTTAGTAGAGCTTCCGTAACAAAAGAATTTATTTGAAGTAGATCATACCACCTATCAACATTTGGCTTTAGAGCAGTTATAATTTGGTTTCAGAGAGAATAGGAGGCATATCTTATTCTGAATCGATTTTCACTAAATTTGACAGAGACATTTTTATCTTTTATACCAAATAACATTGTCATAGAGTGTATGATATCATTTCGAGAAGGATTATATTAAAATAATATATATCGGAGATGAGTTTCATCAAATGGAAACGTACGTCCCGAAATTCACTGCATTTGGGCTGACATTAGCCATTATTAGCACAATATACCTGAAATCGGATTGAGGATATATGTGGGAGCTATAAGCCAATCTTAGCCATCTTGATAAAATTTGGCAAAGGTATTTCCGGGCTCTATAAGATATCTGGTACCAAATATCATTCTTGTGGAGTGCATATTACGAATGTGAGGGACATAAGCACCAAATCGGTTGAAACATATATATGCGAGCTAAAACTATATCTGAAACGATTTTCACCAAATTTAATGTACTTGCTTCTAAAATCCAAAATTCAGATCATTTCGACTGATATATCGTATACAATATACCATATACAAATCTGAACCGATCTTGATACAATTTGGCAGAGGTATTTCTGCGCTATATCTAATATCTGATACCAAATTCTTGGGGGATGCACGTATTATTACGAACGTACACTGAGGGAAAAATCCCGTTGCGAAATCAAGCACGTATGTTGTCATTTTCGCAACGACCCGTTGTTATATTTTTCAACAACGGCTGTTGGTGAATTGTGCACGAACGTGCTCAAATTGACACCGAGACGTGGTCAACTTTCGGTACCAACAACAGCCGTACTTAATTTGTCCATTTGTAATATTGGTAATTGCAGCCGATTACACACGAGTAAAAAATGACAACGGTGGTGCATGATTCACACACGGTCGTTGTCAATATGACACCGGTCGTGTATGAATTATGCACCACCACCTGCATAATGATGCACCACCGTTGTTACTTTGTACACCGACGTGCATGAATCGTACACGATCGTTGCCATTTTAGCAACTACCGTGTATGAATCATGCACCACCGTTGTCATTTTTTTTACTCGTGTGCAATCGGCTGCATATTTACCATTTTTTCCGTGTTATTGAAAGAGAAAGGACGCATTGTGCAAAAAATTTATTGAAAATGAATAATAATTCGCAAGATCCTCAAAATATCATTGGTGAGTTGTTAGAAATCGATGGCAATATTGTTGTGGTTCGCGATACAAACCATTGCAGCAGTCAAGATGCGGAAAACAATGAGGACGATTATATGTTAAGGGAGTTCTTAAAAGGAATAAATATGGAGTCGCTTTTTGAACAATTAAAAGGTAAGTAAATAAAAATGAATTTTTCAGTTAATCAGTGTAATTAACAAAGAATTTTCTTTTTTGTTCTTTTAGCATCACATGTAACATTTCGCAGCTTGCAGTACTTGAAAAAAGAAGATTTAAAGGAAGCAGTGCCACCATTGGGACTGCGTGTTGAATTCAGAGAAAAGCTCTTTGCTTGGAAAAAACGAAAGGTACGTATTATTTGTTTTACAGAGTTGAACTCAGTATTAATATTGTCATAACAATAGCTCGGGATTGATGACGAAACTATGTCAGTTCCATCTAAAATAGGTGAATGGTGGAAACGCAACGAGACACCTGCAAGTACTCCTGGTACTCCCGACACTACAGGTTCGAACTGCTCAAAAGCCAAAGGAATTTTGTCAGAGGTAAGGTAAGAGTAATATTTGTGTAAGCATAGTTAATGTAGTTTTTTTATTTAATATAGGATCTAACGGAATTGTTAACACATACCTCGAAGGGGAAACTAGCGCTTGAATGTAGTAGCGTTAATAAGAAATTAAGTGACGAGCAAAGAGATGATATAATTAATATAATTATTGAAGATATTTTAACCAACAATGTTACTCTTTACACTCAAGACTATATGCGCATATTGGATGAAATTTGTTCCGTTTTTCCTCTTGAAAACGAAATGAGGGTAAGATTAACAATATAAACACGTATCTGATTATGTAGTTTCTTAACTTATAATATGTCTTTATTTTTAGGATTATTATTACATTTCAAGAAAAGGAAAGAACAACGCAAGCGGAAAACTTTATGCCAAGTATAGAAACAAGAAGTCCAAAAGAATAAAGCTTTTGATTTCCGAGCCTAGCACAAGCAAAGCAGCAACTCACACATCTCCTAATTTTTGTAACAAAGATGTTCCCGAAATTGATGAATCAGTTGAAAATTCATTGAAAGCTTCCTTACTAAGAGAATGTAATGATTGGGGATCGATCTGCGAAAAATGGAAAAGATCTTTTAACATACGGCAAAGAGATATAAAAAATTTAAGTAGCCATACATTTCTCCTTGAATGGACGAAGTTGTCCGATGCAAGAGCTTCAGAATTGGTAAGTAGCCATGAGCTATTTATTTGTATATGGATACTAATGTTTCGTTTTAGGTCAACATTGATTTCGATATTATGTATCCACAGAAAGGCAATCTTCTACTTTCTAAATGGGACCAATTTAAGAAAAAAATTTACAATTATTATGGGAAAAATATTCATAACGAACATTGCAAACAACTCTTCGCAAATGTTTTGACGGCAAGCAGCATAGGTAAATTTTAATTCCTGATTTATCATAAACATTAAAAGTAATATTTATTTTATATTTCGGTTGCAGATGCTCAAGATTATATATACGCAATACTGTTGAATTCAGTTTTACCATCACCTGCTAGGTTTAAATGTGGAAACGGTAAATTACGAAAAAAAAGTAACAATAGCTGATTCGCAGGAAAGTTTCGTACTGCGACTACCGACAATTAACGATTATAAAAGGCAAATTGATACAGTCACTGAAAAGTATTACAATGCTGGATTAACTATACAGCCATTTATAATTGTGGAGGGTTTGTCCGATTTCAATATAAAAGGTTTTTATGTTTTTTTTAACCACAATTTGTTAAAATTTCAATCGTTCCTCGAATGTTTAGATACATGTTTTAAAATTTTTCATGCACTTTCTTTAAAATATCCAAATGCCTGCCAAATTCCATGGATTTTTATCCAAAAATATTTTTATGAAATTAATACTGTATATGATATAAAATCAGTTAATTTGACTTCACTTATTAATTTCTGCAACAATAATTAAAGTACAATTCAAAATGTATATTTGCTTTCGTTGCCGTAAGCATTTTGATAAGGCAAATCTTTTAATAGCTCATTTGAAAACAGACCATTTAATGTCCACTAAATTTTTAAAAGTACAATGCGTTCAGGACAACTGTAAGCAAACATTTACAAAATTTACGTCATTCAGAATTCATTTAGAAAAACTTCACAAGAATCACACAAAAGCTCCACCAATGGTTAAAGCCATTAATGTGCCAGTTGAAATGTCATCATCAAAGAAAATGATTATACAAACAGTGAAACTGTTATTAACAACAATACAATAGAAAAGGATTTAAATGTTTTGAAAAAGAAAACCTTATATCTGTCTTTACAATTACATGGTCAAAGCTATATGCCTAGAAATCATGTTATAGAAATACAACATTCTGTTTCAATTCTGCTTTCATCCATTTCATGTACAATTGAAAAATATATAACTGATCATCCAAATTATGAAGACTTAAGGTACTTACTAAACTTTTGTAAAAATCCTTTCGAAGAAACTAGAACGGAATATAGACTTTTAAAAATTTTAAAAGAACTAAACTTTTATGATGATCCAAAGGTTTATGTAATTAGCAATCAAGTCTCGGAAATTGTTATCAGCGGAAATCCCAGTTTAGGTCCAAAGTTATCCAATATTTATATAATGCCACTGAAATTCATGATAAGTGCCCTTTTTAAAATTCCAAATCTCTTAGATTTGACATTAGAAAACTCCAAAAAATTCCTAAATTCACCTGTTTTACAAAATTTTACAAACGGTGAGTTATATAAAACTAAATTATTAAAATATCAGTACAATTTAGTTATTCCCTATGTCCTTTACATGGATGATTTTCAAATTAATAATCCTCTTGGAACCCATACATTTTCCATATGTGGTTGTTATATTAGCTTTCCTTCAATGCCACAGCACTTGTTGTCAAAACTTGATTATATATTAACTGCTGCGTTTATACCATCAAAGGATTTAAAAGAACGTGGAAATGAAGTTTCATTTCACAATCTTGTAGAAGAGTTAAAAATTCTAGAAGAAGGGGTTGAAATTTGTGTTCAACAAAGTGTTCAGAAGGTGCATTTTATTTTAGGTGTAATTATTGGAGATAATTTAGCAGTTAATAGTATTTTAGGCTACGTGCAATCATTTAACTCTAAAAGATTTTGCCGGGTATGTAGAAGAAAAAAGTCCCAAATGCAATTCGACGCAATTCAGCATTTAGATAGTTTAAGAAACCAAGAGAATTACAACTCAAATGTATTGGAAAATAATTTTCAAGAAACAGGTATTAAAAACAAGTGTATCTTCGAATCTTTACCAAATTTTAACGTCACTGAAAATTTTTGTTTTGATATTATGCATGACATTTTCGAGGGCATATGTGTCTACGATATGTCTAATGTAATTCTCGGGCTGATTCAAGAAAATATTGTTACGTTAGATTGTATTAACAGCAGAAAATCTTTATTCCAATTTGGAGAAATTGAAGTGGGAAATAAATCTGGACCACTAGATTTATGTAGATTGAAAAACTATAACTTAAAAATGACAGCTAGTGAAACTATGTGTTTTACTAATTTTTTACCTTTAATGGTAGGCGATTTAATTCCTTTCT